TAATCAAACAGTGTATTTTATGTTTCAGAAAACTATGAATGTTTTTTTTAGTCTACATCTACAAATTTTTCAGTGCAAGCTCCACAGTGATGAACTGCTAGTTCAATGATGAATCACAAGCTGTGACTGCTAGTCACTGTGATGAACTGCTAGTTAGACACTTTTTTGTTTATATAATGTTATTTATATATTATTTTGATTTTTATTTTAGATTTAATTACTCTGATGAATGAGAATAGTCTTGCTTCAAATCTAAGTATCAGCTGTAAGTTTTAGATTTAAAATAAAAATCATAACTTTGTTTTAAATAGTTTTCCAAAATTTTATAAAAAAATTATAATTTTTTTTGAAGTTAGCATTATTACACGAAAAAAAATAACAAAAAACTAGAAATATATATAAGAATATGGGTGACGCCAAGAGAAAACCAGGAATTCTAAAAATAGACTTCTATCCACAGCGAAGTTGCGGGGTTTTTTAATCGGTCAATGTAATAACACGATGTTATTATATTGACCGATTAAAAAACCCCGCAATTTCGCTGTGGATGGAAGTCTATTTTTAGAATTCCTGGTTTTCTCTTGGCGGCACCCATATAGAGTATTGAGTATTTTTGGAAAAACTAACTTTACAACTTTTATTTAATCAACTCTTTCCTACAATCACTTGAACCAAGACTGCACCAAAACAGTTTGAAGATTTAAGGCCCTAAAAAGTTTGAAGATATCTAAGGTTCCTTATTGATACTGTTGTTGACGAAGACTTATATATGAAATACTGAGGAGCAGGGTGTATATAGTTGGTTTGTGTTTTGGGTCAAGCTTTTTTTCTTGGTGAACTCTCTTGCACATTCGGTATCCAAGCCAAAAGGGTTATTTTGATAACAGTAGTGATAAAAAACTCTCAACTTAAGTATTTAAAGCTTTTTAGTTCTACGATAAACAACTAAAAACACTTTTTTTGTCTTGAGCTCTTGCAAATACAGTATTTTTTTCCTTTCAATACTTTTGGCCATAATTTTTGACAAAAAGTGGAGAATTTGGATTACCTCCTCCAAAAGATTGGCAATATTTATTACTTCTATATTGAAAAAATCTGCATGATGACAAACAACACATGTAAAATGGATGGTGCTGGTGAATTTAATAACTGGATGAGTATTCGGAAGAATATCTTACATATTGTGTTGTTGAAAACATACAAACACGTGATCATTGGATAGAGTATGTGGAGATTCCAAAATTTTTATACTTTCAGATGAAGATATAGATTTAATTGAAAGAGCAAAGTAAAGTGAAACAAGATATACAGGCATCCTCTAGTTACTTGTATATAATTATTAGCCTTCGCCATGAGTTATAGTACATTTTATTTTAGTTTTATATTTCTTATCAAGACTCTCACACTTAATAGTAGATTGTGATTCTGTATAATTAGAAGTTTTTGTCTTGTTAGCAGGTTTTCTTCTTTTTAGCGATAGTTTCTTTTAGGTTTTAGTTTAGTTTTTTTTATATTTCTTAGTATTAATATCCATTTTCTTTGATGTATTAGTTTTATTTTTACTCCTTTTTTCATTTTCTATTATCTTTTTTTTTTTCTTTTTTCCTTTTCTATGAGAAAATGTCATCAGTTTGATGACATTCTATTGTAGGGTAAGAATCTTGATGAGGCAAGCAACAGCCAGCCGAGGAATCTGGAGGAATTAAGTCCGGAGTGAGTTTCAGATCTCTGGAGGAGGTTAAGTATTGCTAGGTGGGTTACATCTGAACAAAACACAGTGGTTTAATGGTTCACCCTGACTGCAAGTGGATGTTATAGCATCTGCAAAGTATGCTATGGGTAAGTTTATATTTTGGTCAGAACACTTATAGATTTAGATTTCTTATGCCATGTAAGGATGAAAATTTGTTCTATAATAAAGTAAACAGAATTGCTAAAGAAAAAAAAAGAAAAACTAACTTTAAATTTTTTGTTAGTCTACACTTATAAATTTCTCAGTGCAAGCTGTGACTGCTAGTCTACAGTGATGAACTGCTAGTTCAACGCTGAAATACAAGCTGTGACTGCTAGTCACTGTGATGAACTGCTAGTTCGATACTTCTTTGATTTCTATATTATTTTATAAATTATTATAATTTTAGATTTGATCACCCCGATGAATAAGGATAGTCTCGCTTCAAATCTAAGTTCGAGCAGTAAGTATAAAAGAAAATTATTATTTTGTTTTAAATATTTTTCTAAAATTTTATAGAAAAAATTTATAATATTTTTTAGAGTTAGCATTATCATGCGAAAAAAAATCATGGAAACAAGAATTAGGTGTAAGGAAATAGTGTATTGAATTTTCACAAAAACTAACTTTAAATTTTTTTTTTTTTGGTCTACACTTATAAAGTTCTCAGTGCAAGCTGTGACTGCTAGTCTACAGTGATGAACTGCTAGTTTGACGCTGAAGCACAAGCTGTCACTGTGATGAACTGCTAGTTCGATGCTTCTTTGATTTATATATTATTTTATAAATTATTATGATTTTAGATTTGATCACTCCGATGAATAAAGATAGTCTTGCTTCAAATCTAAGTTCGAGCGGTAAGTTTAAAAGAAAATCATTATTTTGTTTTAAATATTTTTCCAAAATTTTATAGAAAAAATTATAATATTTTTTAGAGTTAGCATTATCACGCGAAAAAAAATCACGGGAACAAGAATTAGGTGTAAGGAAATAGTGTATTGAATTTTCAAAAAAACTAACTTTAAAATTTTTTTTTTTTGGTCTACACTTATAAATTTCTCAGTGCAAGCTGTGACTGCTAGTCTACAGTGATGAACTGCTAGTTCGACGCTGAAGCGCAAGCTGTGACTGCTAGTCACTGTGATGAACTGCTAGTTCGACGCTTCTTTGATTTATATATTATTTTATAAATTATTATGATTTTAGATTTGATTACCCCGATGAATAAGAATAGTATCGCTTCAAATCTAAATATCTGGCGGTAAGTTTTGGATTTATAATAAAAATTATAATTTATTTTAAATTTTCCGCAAAAATTTTATAGATAGAACTTATATTTTTTTTTAGAGTTAACACTAGTATGTAACTGTCGCATTGCTCAGAATAACTTAAATATTTACCAATCGGGTTATGACTATTATTAGGTAGATATAGAAGCTATAATCGGTTTGCTTAATTCAACTTAAATTTGATTAATTCGATTTTAAATAGTAACCCATTTTAATAGCAATCGGGTTTATAGTAAATAAAGGTTTAATTTGTTGTAAGATCAAATTCGATTTATTTATTAACGTTAATATGAGAAATATATATATACTTCAGTTCACAGTTCATCCAATTCGGATTTTTGAATTTCTAATGTCCCGAGTTTCGTATTCGTGAATATTTAAATATATGAATAATTTACAGCAGACTATATGGCGAAATGTTTTTAATATTAAGATCAGTAGAAATATAATCCCAAAAATCATTATCACGTTCATTTATAATTAAAGTTATAAGGCGGCCGATCAAGTGACCACACCCTTGATTGGTCTAGGATCATAATTCAACCCATGTCGCATAAACATAGCGGGCTTTAAATCTGATTGGACAATGTAGTAAGTTGTTGTTATTTCTTAATGCCGGCCTCAATCCGACGAAATCCGACCCATAATTCGGGCCGATCTGCTGAATTTTTGTTTCTCCGCTAATCTATCCATACCCGACCCTCCTCTAATTGATTTTCCGAAGATCTTTTTTTTGTCAATTTGGACCCTTTTCTCAGCACCTAGCCCATATATACCGGTACATGTTCTATAAGATATCGCTTATACGTCCATATCTGTGTTCTAAATTTTGTTAAGCACGGGTATATGCTGTTATTCACTAATTAGAACATCTTTATTTAATGGGCAGTTGTATTTTTTTCACGCAAATTTGGCCAAATTTTTTGTGCATCATTGAGATTGAATTTTTAAAACAAAAAACTTGAAAAATTAGATATTAAAGTTATTAGTGCTTAGTCAAAAACTTTATTACACTAAAAACATTATATAATTTGTTCAATATATTATCTACCACTACAATTATCCTTTAAAGTATTATTATACAATGTAAAATAAAGTAAAATAAATAAAAAATATTTCTAAATACCAATAGCACAACTTTCCAATGTCATTATTATAAAATAGGGCAATAGGTCCAGAGCTAAAATTCTGTTATCATAATTGGTTAAAAATAGGAAGAGGCACACTAGTAAATATTAGATAAACTAATCCAAAAATGGTCAGATATAAACATACACTGCAATTACCTCATTACAGTAATAGCCAAGCTAATTAATGACTTCTAGCTAACTCTGAAAAGTAATTCAATAAATCATCTATCGAAAACTCTAAAGTAATATTTGAATCTGGATAACATTTATTAATAATCGATGTAAATCTTTCGTGACTTCTAATTACTTCTTCTTCTATACTTCGCCATACAACTTGTAATAATCCTTCTTCCTCCGTAAAATGTTTGTCAACTCGTTTATACAATGAATTCAAGTCTTTTTTTATCTGTATGAAAATAATTTATGTTAAGACAAGATTTTAAAGACTGTAGAAAATTGTAATACAATTACTAACTTCTTTTCCAGGGTACTGTGACACAACTTTCTTTAAAGCATCTTTGCTGTATTTGAGTCGAAATCCAACTTCTTCTGGCGCTGACGTCGTTCTTAAAAGGCTTTCTATTCCTTCAAAGAATTCCTGAAATGTATATAAATGGTTATAAATCGAAAAATTGTTGACAGTTAATATGACTATGATAATCCTCTGAAATCACACACCAGCAGTTTACCAAACGGCCTCCGGACAACTGATTTGGCATAAGCTTCTAAATGTCTATCGTATGAAATTCGTGCATATCTCATAAATGGTTCAAGAACCATTATTCTACGAGTTCTAATCTCAGTATAAAAGTGGTGCATGTTTTCTATATTGAACAGATATAACAAAAATTAGTTTCTTAAGATTACTTCAAAACGTAAAATATATGAAATATTACCTAAAGTCATTATATGTGCATTTAACTGTTCCCTATCATCAACGGGAGACTCTTCGTCTTTTGAAATCGCTTCTAAACAATCAAACATCGTTTTAACAATCTTTTCATAACCACTATTCACAATTTGGCGTATTTCTAGTTGATCCGCTCCATTCATTGAATGTTCTATACGCTCTACAAAACGCTATTTCAAGAATAAGTATTAAATTTGAACAATACTATGAAAAAATACAGGTTTTGTGTAGAATGCCAATCAAATTCGTACATAATTAGTGAAAGGATTTAAACGATGTTAGTACCAATCATTCATGTTAATCTGCTTGAATTCTTGTTTAAATCTGATTGGCAGTCTATGTGAACCTAGTATACAAAACTTGAAAACTAGATATACGCACCGGAAATATGCGAATGAACAAAACTATTCCTTTTCGTCTCTTTGAAGTAACTTTAGTATCTTCAATTGCTTTGAGTTGCTCATTCTAATTTAGCCACATTGAAATGAACAATAAACACGTATGTATATATATATGCTTAGAAGTTGCCATTGTCAGTAAGAATTGAATACTTACAATAAATCGTTCCAAAATTACAAGACAATGTTTCCTGACATTCCGAAACACTTTAATTACATAATTGTAGTTAAGTCTTTCTTCTTCATGCATGAGCTTTTCAATAGATACAATAATTCCTACTATTTGGCTATTTTTGATGTAAAACATTTAGTTAGAAATTTAATATAGATTTTAAAATATCTAATAAATTAGATGCTTAATATTCTTACGCTGTGTCAAGCTTACATCCATAATCAATAAATACGCATAATTCATCTGGGAGAAAATTGAATAGCTTTTCCATATGCTCGCTTTTAAATAAAACCATTTAGAAATCTCAAGTAAATTAAAAGATATATTCATATATATTTGATCAAAATAATAACTTACAGCAGAAGCTTTTTATGCATAATTTCACTTTCATTATCATCTAAATCCTTAAGGAACACTTCTGACTCGTAAAATGATGACTTTGAATCTTTTTTGGCAAGATGAAAAAAATCAGCCATAAACTTTTGTTCGTTAACAATCAATGGAACAATAGTCCGAAGACAATGATTGAAGGACTATAATAAAGTGATATCATTATTAACTATTAGAAAAGTAGTCTGTTCATTATAATTCTAAAAACACGCTATATATATTACCTCTTCAAGTGGAATTTTCCCACTACCACTATCTCTAAATTCTTGTTTGGTACTATCAAATGAAAACAAACTACTCCGATTACTATATGCATTTGCCGCACTAAAAACTACGCGGGCCATGAAGATAGTAAGAATGTCATAAAATTACAATAATACAGTATATATTTTCTGAAATAAAAAAAAAAGAATCGTGTTTACCGTAGTTAGCTTCCTCAGCCAACTCTCTTTTAGATAAAAGAAGTCTCATCTGCTGAAGGTATTCTTTAGTCTCTTTTTTATAAATTGGTTCTTTGGCAGCAACATAAAACTAAGACAATAAAACCAATTAAGTATAATTATGCCACCAATTCTTAAAGAATTAATGAATGCTGGCTAACCGATTGAACTTCTAAATGCCGATTAGGATCCATTTCTTTCACCCACAATGACAAATTACAATATTTAGACAAATTGAGTGTAATATAATCGTGACTTTGAATGGTTAAACTATTATGTCGTGGTCCTCTGCTCTTGTCATTCATTAAGGTTTCTGCCTAATAAATAAATTTGGAATTTAAGATTGTAGACGTTTAGAGTAGATAAATAAATGAAAAATTAGGAATAAATGCGTGTATATAAGTTTAGAATAAATAGATAAAAAAGATATATATTTGCATAACTTACTTGGTATTGGAACATCATACGCATATATTC